AATCAGTCAATTCCGCTTCGCTAACTGATAGTTTAATTATATCATTTTCAAAATTGTTAAAACATAAAACAAGATTCCATGCCCAAAAAGTTACCGGGACTGTTGAGAAACAAGCCCAGGTTACAGTGCCCTAAAGTGGCAAGCAGTGCAAGCGCAAGAATAGTCTGTTGACACAGACGTATTTCCGGTCGTCGCTTCTCTCCATCCGGGTGGTGGAGCCGGAGAAGCGACGACCGGAAATACGTATGTGTCCGCAGGCTCGCGCGAGGACCGAGGACGCGTGTTTTCCTCTCTCGTGAAACTTTGCAGAATAGAAAAAAGATTTGACAAAGAAACTAATAATGCTTGCATTTCTCTAATTACTTGAGTTTAATTTGATAACATTTCTTACAACTAGAACAATACTTCGAGACAGCTGAAGCACATGCATCAAGATACCATTACTAGGGAGATTTTCCGCCGCAGTATTTCGTATAAAAAATCAAATACAAAATAAAAATAAAGTCTCCAGGGAGCGGAACGTAAAAACGCTTAAGACCGTAACGAAATAGGAATGTTCAAATCTGCGTAAGCACTAAAGCAACTCTTGTTTCCATGGAGACGAAGTTTAAATATGGAATTCGGCGCAGAATTTAAGGCGCTGTTGCCCGTTTCGGGTGAGGAAGATATTGGAAGGCCTGTGGTCTCTCCCGAAGCAAAGGGAAGCGTTCATTTACTTGATTTTCGCATCAGTCTCTCTAAGTTCCCGGAATAATTCATCATCTTTATTTTTTTTTCGTTTTCGTAAGTCAAGCACTTCCAGAATATTGCTCACTCCTGCAAGAGAAAGCGAAAAAGGAGGTTATTTGGTACACTAATGATCTGTAAGAGCGGAAATATGCAAATGCCGAAATTATGCACAGTGGAGGCAGCGCAATTCAAGCGCTACCATCCTGTCAGTGTTCATTTTTTCGATTCATATTAACAAAAATCAGGCAGTCATTCCGTAATCCCAAAACCTGGTTAAAACAGCAACGTTTAAAGATAGAACTCAATTTTCTGTGGCCCTGGGATGGTGGAAATTAAGCTGGGGTTAATCTGGCCACGGCCTACATAAGACGCGAAAGGAACTATTTAAACATTGAGAGCTGCCAACAAACTGAATAAAACGGAAAAAAAACGGTTCAAAACACTAGAAGCCAGAAAGAATAAAAAACACAACCAATCAGGGTTCATACCAAAAAATCCAACCATTTTTCAAGGACGTTTCAAGGACCACATTACATTTTCAAGGACCACCTACTAGGAATATAATTTGTCATATTGTACAAAATGCGTACTATCTGACAAAAATCCACATTCCCAGTCTATTCTAATAAGACTTTAAGGCTTGATCCCTTTGCTTTACCAACTTCTCTGCATTTTTCAGTTCACTTGTCTTGAATTAATGGTTAATTCTTGCATGAATTCGCGAAACAAAAAACGCTTTACGTAAATCACTTTGAGCGTCGCTGAGCTATGATTTATATTGTCGTGGAAAACCAAAAAGCATTAAAAAATTCTTTCCAGACCATCTCATTCAAAGTTGAAGAAATTTCAAGGAATTTTCAAGGACTTGCATGGAAATTTAAGGACTTTTCAAGGAAAAATGGAATTCAAGGACTTTTCAAGGACTTCCCCTAAAATTCAAGGACTTTTCAAGACTGCGCGAACCCTGCAAATACAAAAGAAAGGAAGGACGGATAAACTTGGAGTAGATTAAAACTGATTGTAAGTACTATTTATACTGGGTTTTCTAGGATATAGGTCTTGAATAAATGAAACATTTAATTAAAATGACGGTTTCACAACCCACAGCCTTCTGATAATCAGTTCTAAAGAACTGTTAAAAAATTAGGAGCAAACGATCATTATTTCAAGTAAACAACATACACATTAAAAATTCTTTGGCCAGTGTTCCTTACTGTTCATTCGTCGTCCGGTCGGTCTCGGGTGTTTTACGACCGTGTTTTTTGCCCATGTCTTGCTGTTGTTGCTGTCCTCGAGGACTGGCCCTCCGATCCTTGTACTGTTTTGTTTTTGGTTTGTTGTACGGCTGATATTGATTTCCTGACGAGTTCGTAGTCTGCCCTGAGGAGCCATATCTGGAAATAAAAGACACACTGTCGTAAATGAATCATGAGTTTACGCAACAGGACGGCAGGAAGATGACGACGGTAAAACGCTTGAGTGTGACAACCGTTACATGGCTATTCCTTGCGTGTTTGTCGTGATCATCACTTGACATTAATGTTTTCTGGTCTTTTACGAAAAGATCTATTTAAGGGAAGGTGAAGTTTGGCGAAAAGTTTTTTCAAACAAAATTATTGTCACGCATGTCACACAAGGTTTGCCGTCTTCTTTCCTCTCCCGTCCTTTATGCGTCCTTTGCAGAGAAATGGTCACATTACAAAAACACTGCTGGATGGCAAACGCCGCAGTGGGGCAAGAAAAACAAAGAGATTACATCATTCAAAAATCAAATATCCTTCAGCTCCCAGTGCATTGTTTGCCCTCCAGCAAGGTGGTTTTTATACCATGTGACCGGTTCTCTGGTCATAACTGGAATAATCACTCTTTTGTTCACAGTCCCTCTATTTATGAGATCCTCGAGCATGTCTATGGAAAGGCTAAATAATAGCCATAGCGCCTGTTAAGTTCTTGAATTCTCGGTCCGACGCTGACATAAATTTAACCATTCGCGAATTTCATAGTTTCCTCTGGGGGCGTTCTTTGGGACGTCACGCAACGTGACAGGTGCGTTGCGTGACGAAACAAAAAACGACTGCGTTGGAGGCTACGAATCACACGGCACTGCATATCTTTCTTCTTTTCTTTTGTTACGTTCAAAAACAACACGAACCAGGAAAGAAGCGCAACAAAAGAGAGTGTTAGGGTCTATTTTTTAGGTTTCTTTTCCCTGCTAATCATTCATGTCAACATGAACAAATGTTACCAAACGATTACAATCGAAAAGCGACGCACTATTGCAAATATCAATATTCTTTTATCTTAGCGAGGTGCTCCGGGGGCGGCGGTTATTGGAGTACATACAGTTAAATGGAGAAATCCTTTTAGACTTAAGCTCGTTCAACTAGTATCTTTTAAACTTAGATATTGTTCTTGAATCAAATAATATTGGAGATCTGTAACAAAGCTATCAACAGTAGTGAAAACTATGGCGCATTCCCTTCAGCTACAGTCTTAGTCAAAATTGTTGGGACACTTTGCTGTCTTCTTGCCCTCCCAATGTTGGTGTGCAAGATTTGGTGAGCTAGCTGCGTTAAATAAAAAAACATTGGGAGGATGGGGCGCCAGAAGTGGAAAAACAGCGTTGGGTGGAAGTGTCCCAACTATTTTTGTCTGACAGTGTGGTTTCAGATTGAGGCAATAATAACAGTCTCTGTCTTTGTTCTTCCTCGAGCTAGTGAATGGGTTGAATGGAAAGCGCCCCCGGGGTCCGAGATCTCGCCTTACCTCTAAATCCTTAGTAAAATTTTAGATGTGTTCATATGAGAGGGCGGGCTGGCTCGGTTCCCGAGATCTCAGTTTTTCCAACCCGGATCTGGGTAAGCGGGCTGGAAATTTTGCCATATGAATACTTCAGCCCGGTTAAAGGGATGAATTCTGGCGGTCCGGATGGCATCGTCTTGCATTACCTGCTGTATTTTCCACATCATAAGCATCCCATTTAACTGCAGTGATACAGCTTTAAGAGTTGCCGAAGCTATGATAGGCGCGAAAGTGATAATTTTTGTGTTTCGCCACGTTTGCTGTTCCCCGAATTTGGCGCCAGAACTCGTCCCCAGGATCTTTGGCCGTATCTCATCTCTGAAACCGGGCTGAATTTTCTCATATGAACCCAAGGGGAAATTTGTCCCGGTAACCTGGCCCGACCAGGCAACCGGGCTCATGTGGAGAGGCCCTAAATGTAACGCTTCCTGCAATACCACCCATAGGATTTCTGTGTATACCGTAAAATTCCGCAAATAAGCCCCGCGGCATATATTTTTCAAAAGCCCTTTTTGAGGGGCTTATTTTTGGAGGGGCTTACCTATGGAGGGAAGTTTGCGTTTTAAAATCGATTGGGCTAGCCTTATAGTTGGAAGTAAATCTAGCGTTTTTGCTTTGTTTTACTTTGTCTTTGAGGGCAATTTTCCAAGTAAAAGCCCCTGGAGGCCTTATATTCGGAGCGGACATTTAACGGAGGGTTTTTTGCGCTACCGGTTTGGGGGGCTTATATTTGGAGGGGCTTATACATACAGGGGCTTATTTTCGGAATTTTACTGTATACGCAACTATGAATATACCTTTGATACTGAAAGTTGTACTGGCTCCTCTCGCCTGGAATCTCATATCCAGTTGGAATCGTACCATCGCCGTAAGACACCAACGAGGAACCTTGCATAACAGCCTCGGAGCCGTACATTTCACCTGCCTTAGGAACGCGTCTATCAATATTATACATTCGCCTCTGGTTAGATGGGTACTGTGTTTGTACATGGGCTGGAGGTTGTGGGTATTGTGAAGGGATTGGGTTTTGCTGTCCAACAGCAGTTGCCATAGTAACTCCTCGACCTCCTTGAATGACTACTGGTACCATAGGTCGCATAATTTGCTGTGGGGTGTGGGGTGAGGTCGTTTGTTGCTGGTATGGGGAGGTGTGTGATTGTTGCGGAGATTGTGCAGGGATTTGCGAAGACAGCGTCAACTGCTGTTGCTGTAAGAACTGACTTGCAACGACAGGTGACGCAGTCTGGGGAGGGGTGGGTGGTGTTTGAGAACGTGGGTGTTGTTGAATAACGGATGACGTGACATCTTTGGATATGGCACCGTAAGGAAATTGTTGATAAGGCGTTTGTGTTGGAGACACTACGTAACTTTGGTATTGCTGCGGTGAGGCAGTTTGAGGCACCGCTTGCCCGGCATAACCTTGGCCTTGTAATACAGGCCTTATTTGTGACACGCTAGAATGAGCGGGCAGCACAACGTATTGAACTTGTCCCGTCATACCAGCTTGCGTGACACTGTTTATATACATAGGTGGGGTTGTAGAACTTGAACTAGGAACGACAGTTTCGGCGTACTGTTGATAAGAGCTTGGATCTTCGTCCGGTCGGTCTCGGGTGTTTTACGACCGTGTTTTTTGCCCATGTCTTGCTGTTGTTGCTGTCCTCGAGGACTGGCCCTCCGATCCTTGTACTGTTTTGTTTTTGGTTTGTTGTACGGCTGATATTGATTTCCTGACGAGTTCGTAGTCTGCCCTGAGGAGCCATATCTGGAAATAAAAGACACACTGTCGTAAATGAATCATGAGTTTACGCAACAGGACGGCAGGAAGATGACGACGGTAAAACGCTTGAGTGTGACAACCGTTACATGGCTATTCCTTGCGTGTTTGTCGTGATCATCACTTGACATTAATGTTTTCTGGTCTTTTACGAAAAGATCTATTTAAGGGAAGGTGAAGTTTGGCGAAAAGTTTTTTCAAACAAAATTATTGTCACGCATGTCACACAAGGTTTGCCGTCTTCTTTCCTCTCCCGTCCTTTATGCGTCCTTTGCAGAGAAATGGTCACATTACAAAAACACTGCTGGATGGCAAACGCCGCAGTGGGGCAAGAAAAACAAAGAGATTACATCATTCAAAAATCAAATATCCCTCAGCTCCCAGTGCATTGTTTGCCCTCCAGCAAGGTGGTTTTTATACCATGTGACCGGTTCTCTGGTCATAACTGGAATAATCACTCTTTTGTTCACAGTCCCTCTATTTATGAGATCCTCGAGCATGTCTATGGAAAGGCTAAATAATAGCCATAGCGCCTGTTAAGTTCTTGAATTCTCGGTCCGACGCTGACATAAATTTAACCATTCGCGAATTTCATAGTTTCCTCTGGGGGCGTTCTTTGGGACGTCACGCAACGTGACAGGTGCGTTGCGTGACGAAACAAAAAACGACTGCGTTGGAGGCTACGAATCACACGGCACTGCATATCTTTCTTCTTTTCTTTTGTTACGTTCAAAAACAACACGAACCAGGAAAGAAGCGCAACAAAAGAGAGTGTTAGGGTCTATTTTTTAGGTTTCTTTTCCCTGCTAATCATTCATGTCAACATGAACAAATGTTACCAAACGATTACAATCGAAAAGCGACGCACTATTGCAAATATCAATATTCTTTTATCTTAGCGAGGTGCTCCGGGGGCGGCGGTTATTGGAGTACATACAGTTAAATGGAGAAATCCTTTTAGACTTAAGCTCGTTCAACTAGTATCTTTTAAACTTAGATATTGTTCTTGAATCAAATAATATTGGAGATCTGTAACAAAGCTATCAACAGTAGTGAAAACTATGGCGCATTCCCTTCAGCTACAGTCTTAGTCAAAATTGTTGGGACACTTTGCTGTCTTCTTGCCCTCCCAATGTTGGTGTGCAAGATTTGGTGAGCTAGCTGCGTTAAATAAAAAAACATTGGGAGGATGGGGCGCCAGAAGTGGAAAAACAGCGTTGGGTGGAAGTGTCCCAACTATTTTTGTCTGACAGTGTGGTTTCAGATTGAGGCAATAATAACAGTCTCTGTCTTTGTTCTTCCTCGAGCTAGTGAATGGGTTGAATGGAAAGCGCCCCCGGGGTCCGAGATCTCGCCTTACCTCTAAATCCTTAGTAAAATTTTAGATGTGTTCATATGAGAGGGCGGGCTGGCTCGGTTCCCGAGATCTCAGTTTTTCCAACCCGGATCTGGGTAAGCGGGCTGGAAATTTTGCCATATGAATACTTCAGCCCGGTTAAAGGGATGAATTCTGGCGGTCCGGATGGCATCGTCTTGCATTACCTGCTGTATTTTCCACATCATAAGCATCCCATTTAACTGCAGTGATACAGCTTTAAGAGTTGCCGAAGCTATGATAGGCGCGAAAGTGATAATTTTTGTGTTTCGCCACGTTTGCTGTTCCCCGAATTTGGCGCCAGAACTCGTCCCCAGGATCTTTGGCCGTATCTCATCTCTGAAACCGGGCTGAATTTTCTCATATGAACCCAAGGGGAAATTTGTCCCGGTAACCTGGCCCGACCAGGCAACCGGGCTCATGTGGAGAGGCCCTAAATGTAACGCTTCCTGCAATACCACCCATAGGATTTCTGTGTATACCGTAAAATTCCGCAAATAAGCCCCGCGGCATATATTTTTCAAAAGCCCTTTTTGAGGGGCTTATTTTTGGAGGGGCTTACCTATGGAGGGAAGTTTGCGTTTTAAAATCGATTGGGCTAGCCTTATAGTTGGAAGTAAATCTAGCGTTTTTGCTTTGTTTTACTTTGTCTTTGAGGGCAATTTTCCAAGTACAAGCCCCTGGAGGCCTTATATTCGGAGCGGACATTTAACGGAGGGTTTTTTGCTCTACCGGTTTGGGGGGCTTATATTTGGAGGGGCTTATACATACAGGGGCTTATTTTCGGAATTTTACTGTATACGCAACTATGAATATACCTTTGATACTGAAAGTTGTACTGGCTCCTCTCGCCTGGAATCTCATATCCAGTTGGAATCGTACCATCGCCGTAAGACACCAACGAGGAACCTTGCATAACAGCCTCGGAGCCGTACATTTCACCTGCCTTAGGAACGCGTCTATCAATATTATACATTCGCCTCTGGTTAGATGGGTACTGTGTTTGTACATGGGCTGGAGGTTGTGGGTATTGTGAAGGGATTGGGTTTTGCTGTCCAACAGCAGTTGCCATAGTAACTCCTCGACCTCCTTGAATGACTACTGGTACCATAGGTCGCATAATTTGCTGTGGGGTGTGGGGTGAGGTCGTTTGTTGCTGGTATGGGGAGGTGTGTGATTGTTGCGGAGATTGTGCAGGGATTTGCGAAGACAGCGTCAACTGCTGTTGCTGTAAGAACTGACTTGCAACGACAGGTGACGCAGTCTGGGGAGGGGTGGGTGGTGTTTGAGAACGTGGGTGTTGTTGAATAACGGATGACGTGACATCTTTGGATATGGCACCGTAAGGAAATTGTTGATAAGGCGTTTGTGTTGGAGACACTACGTAACTTTGGTATTGCTGCGGTGAGGCAGTTTGAGGCACCGCTTGCCCGGCATAACCTTGGCCTTGTAATACAGGCCTTATTTGTGACACGCTAGAATGAGCGGGCAGCACAACGTATTGAACTTGTCCCGTCATACCAGCTTGCGTGACACTGTTTATATACATAGGTGGGGTTGTAGAACTTGAACTAGGAACGACAGTTTCGGCGTACTGTTGATAAGAGCTTGGATCGAGAGAAGCCTGTTGCCCTGACAACGAAAGCCCGCTAAACTGAGCAGTCACATCTTGATATCCCGGATTTGATGGCGTCACTGACTGTCCAGATCCCCCTGTCCACTGGCTTCCCGGAGTTCCTTCTGCTCCCTAAAGCAGGATAAAAACGTTTGAGAAGTTAACAGAAGTCGCATATGAAGAAAAAGACCTTTATTGTGGTTCGCTTAGGCCTACACCAAACGTCGACCTTTTCATGAGACGAACCAAACTTATCGAGTTAAGTTCATGAAAAGTTCGACGTCCGGCTCAGTTAGGTTCGTCTGAAGATCGTCGCCGAGACAAACGCCGACCTTCACATGCCACGAACTAAACTAATAAACAAAACTTTGATGACAATGTATATTTAGCCCCGTTCGGGGAAAAAATTTTTAATATTGCTTTTTGGTGTGATTTAGTTGATTGGTTCGACGAGTCCTAAGTTCGACGTCTGACCCAACAGACGATCTTAAGTTAGTTTAGGTCAACCCACATTAGAGTTTGGTTCGTCTCATTGGCTTTCTCACTGTCTATTGAACCAATTACCTTTGTGAGGGAACTCTTCCAGTCACTCATCGTTGTTGTCATAAGGCTATATTATAAAGTGCTTGTTTGGCTAACTAGATTGATCAATTTATTTGGATAATTGTGTCTAGTTCAGGACACGTTGCTTCGTAATCAAGTGGGAGGGGAACTCCAGAAACCTACAGGCTTTAACTACTTTATACTACAATAAAAACAGCTAAAAAATACTACCCATAACTATCTCGGCGTATCTTTAGCGGAGCTACCAGAGGCTCAAGAGAAGAGATCGATAAGTAGGAGAAAAAATGCAAAAGAGCCAAGAGGTCTCAGGTGCCACAGCGTGGCAACACGGTGGTCCGGGGTTTGAGTTTTGTTCTGACCACTGGCTGAACTTGTTTCCGCAGGGCTTGGTAGTCTCGAGTTCAAATCACATTCTACCAGACAGTGTCTGACGTTCCAACAACCTATGCGATAGTCATCGTCAAAGTCAAAGTGAATTGAAACTTAAGTTAATGGTATTAAACTCTGAGTTTGTTTGCATCAACTGACGTGATACAACTTACTTTGACTCTGGATATGGCTAACGCACATGTTGCTGAAACGTCAATGTCAAAAACAACCCTCCGGACAATGAAACTGTATTTCCTCATGAGGGTGATGCAACTTAACCGAATCATTTCTCCAAATTATAGAGTTTGTGGTAATGTTTAAAAAGGGTAATTTGTCTTTGGGAAAATACCCCTCCCCCGCCTTGCCCTGTTCAATGTTGGGATATACCGAGAATTACGAACACAAACACCTGGGCCACGGTGTGGGCGGAAAAAGAAAAAGAGAGGTAAAAGGTGGTAACCTTCCTAACGTCTTTTCGTATGACTGTAACTAAAACAGCTAACATTTGTTTTTGACGCAGGATACCGACAGTAGCGACGCCAACTCAGGGTAACCAAGGTTGCAGAATTTCAGATCACAAATCACACTTTACTAACTCTTTCATTCATGTTTTGAGTAGTTAAACAGGAAGTGTAAGGAACGAAGGGTGGGGGAAGTGAACAGGGTGAGTTGGTATTCGATAGACACAAGACCGAAACTAATGGCGACCTTTAGATTCGAGGAAGAGGACGACTACGAGTACGAGATTTGACTTGAAGTATTCTCGCGT